AAAAAAAGAAAAAAAAAAACAAGAAAAAATCTAATCAGTCGGTTCCTCTAAAAAAAATAGGAATTAAGAAGAACGAGGAAACTAAATAGAAATAAATTTGAGTCTTTAAATAAATCGACAATTAAACGTTACAAAAATCAGCCTTCTCAAAAGTAAATTCGCGTATCAAAGTATTCGTCACAGCGCCAGGAAGTAAACTTGACCTCTTCAATTATATCAATTCGAATTACTAGCCGAAGAACCCGTTCGTCGAAGAATGGGTGACTAACTTAGAAGTGGCTCTTTAACGTGGGTCAAAAGGAAGCTGTTAACAATGCGGGTATGGCGAACACCACAGAGTGTGAACGCACCGGAAGAACGGTCCTGCTTTGAGTGGTTACGATATATATGTATATGGCGTTTAGCCTGCTGACGATGAGATTGCACCATTTTTTTCTTTTTGGTCGCCGGTCGACAGGCGAGCCTCGCGCGAGAACGCGTGAATTTTAAGCGTGAAACAGCAACTTCGTGGACCGCAGAAAGTGAAAGAGAGAGAGAGACCGCAGCTCTCCGCGGCCTCTCCGCGCGGTCCTCGCGAAGCGACACGCATACACGCACACACGCGCGCGCGCGCATCGCGCCCTATCGCGATAATAAATCCTGCTGTGTTACACGGTCGGCGTGTAAATTACAGTCGATCGGCCCTTGCACTCATCGGCCTCGCGTCCCTTAGAAATGCGCGGTTCCTTACACCTCGCAGCATACGAGTGCGCGCACACGCACGAGTTATACACGAGGATACGAGCGAAAGATAACGTTTAGATAGAACTCGAAAATATTCTCGCCGCGTCGCTTTTCCCTTCTCTCAGCGGGATTTCTCCCTCCTACGATAAACCATACAAGACAAAAAATTCGATATACATTAAAAATCCCCAAGAGGTTTGCCTCACGATAATCTTTCCTCCCCCTTCCCTTTTTTTTTTCTTCCTTTAATCCGTACCTCCGTTATATCCTAAAACGATTAATATTGATAAT